GTCACTTGCTAAGTCAAGCCTGTTTTGTTTATAAACTGGCCACTAGGATACTGGCCACTAGGATCGGGCCCTCATGAGCTTTTACAGGGAGTGACAGAGAATAGCCGCTGGGTGTGGTGTGGAACTCCTCTGGTCCCTGCACTCAGGAGGCAGATGCAGGAGGGTCTCTGTGTGTTCTGGGCCAGCCTGGTCTACAAAGACAGTCCAGGACAGCCAGGGCTACACAGAGACAAAACCAAAGGAATTGATTTAAATCTCTTCCTCCATTTTCTAGACACAGCCCAGTCTCAAACTCACGCTCCTTCTGTTGGGATGACAGGTGTGTGCCTGTTGTCACCTCCTAGGTACAAATGGCTTCGAATGTTCTTGTCCTGAGACCTTAGAGAGCTGCGGGGGTAAGCCCCCTTTTGTGAGGCTCCCGGCATCTGTTGCTGAGGAAGGTGGCTTTGGCTGGCTGCACTCATGCCTTAGAGGATGGCTGAGCACAGGTGTCAGCCCCACCCCATGCCACCCCCTGTACCTCAGGCCCTTGAGCAGCTGAAGGGCAGAGGACCCGCCCATCCTCTACCCTCATCCAGGGCCTGCAAGCATAGGAGGACAACGGGCTCCCTGACGATGAGGAAGGCCTCAGGTGCCATCGCTGGGAGGCTGATGAGGAGGGCCCTGGGTGCTAGGCCAGTCTGACCTACACACAAAGACTAACAGTTTGTTTTTAAATGGGGGGGTCGGGGTGCAACTAACTGGTGAAGCACTTGCCTAGCATGTGTGAGGACCTGGGCTCCAGCCAGAGTTCTACAATACAAAGAGGACTATGGCCCAAACAATGGCCTCCTCAGGGGTAGAACTCAATAGAAAAGAAGGAGGCCCCAGGCCCCAGCGGGTCTTCGCTCTCTCCTGGAGGGGAGGGTTTTGGTCTCTCTCTCTCTCTCTCTCTCTCTCTCTCTCTCTCTCTCTCTCTCTCTCTCTGTCTCTCTTCCATCTGCAGAGCCTCCATGACCTCATCCATGCAATGGGCCAGCAGCGTCCCCACAGGGCCCTGGAACAGGACCTGGTTATTGACTTCTGAGCTGCTCCTGGCGCCGAGCGAATGGCACAGGGCTGCCAATGTTGCCATAAAGGCCGAGTTCTGGCCCAAGGTTCTGTTTCTTCTGGCAGCTGCTTGGCCTCTCTGTAGGCCTGGAGACTGGAGGACAGACCCCCTGCCTTTTCCAGCATCTTCCTGTCTGCCTTCAATCAGGAGCCTAGGAGTGGGGCGGGGACTGGGGAGAGGTGGGAGCACCTCGGGCCAGCTCAGGATCCCGAGGGTCATGGACCTGGCCTGATGTCCCCTCCTAGATGGAAAGAGGATGAGGTCCTCAGCAGCTCGGGAACAGTCTAGGCGCTGAGTTGGCTCAGAGGGAGGCTTGAGACAAGAGTTGAGACAAGAGTCAATCAGTTCTCACTGTGGAGGGAGGCGGGTGCAGCCGTGGGTGTGCCCTGTGCGGGCGGGTAGCTCCTGAGTTCTCTTCAGGCATATTTGCCCTGGAGTGACTCAGCCTGGCAGGGACAGGGGGGTGGGGGTCGGGGAGGCAACCCTGGGCTCAGCGGGAGAGCAGCCAGGCAGGGAAGTTTTCTGGAAGGGAGCAATGGCTCTCAGGGCCCTAGATGGTGGTGGGAACTTTGTGCTGAAATCTTTTTTGTTTTGGTTTTTTGGAGACAGGGTTTCTCTGTGTAGCCCTGGCTGTCCTGGAACTCACTCTGTAGACCAGGCTGGCCTCGAACTCAGAAATCCGCCTGCCTCAGCCTCCCAAGTGCTGGGATTAAAGGCGTGCGCCACCACCGCCCGGCCCTGCCCTGAAATCATTTTTTTTTTTTTTTTTTTTTTTTTTTTTTTTTTTAAAGATTTTATTTATTTAATGTATATGATGAGCACACTGTAGCTGTCCTCAGACACACCAGAAGAGGGCATCAGATCTCACTACAGATGGTTGTGAGCCACCATGTGGTTGCTGGGAATTGAACTCAGGACCTCTGGAAGAGCAGTCAGTGCTCTTAACCTCTGAGCCATCTCTCCAGCCCCTGCCCTGAAATCTTAACCCAGGAGGAGGTGACAGGAAGATTCTCCCATCAATCAACAGCAAATATTGATCAAGATGGTGCAGAGCGGATCAACAGCAGAAAGGCCTGTGCAAAGGTCCTGGGGTGAGGAAAGGAAGGAAGAGCAATGCATTATGGGAAGTGGTTCCTGCCTCAGAGGTTACAGTGTGTGGTGGGGAACTCTCCATCTCGTAACCCTTCCCTCCTGGCTGTGGTGCTACAGGCAAGATGCTGTCTCTCTCTGAGCCTCAGTTTCCCTCAGGAGAGGAAATGGCCTTATCTCCTTCCCCGAAGATGTGGGTGAAGACCTACTGGGTGTTGTGTAAAGTTCTCAGTGCTGGTATAAGCAAGCCCCAGTGCAGTGGTGTCCCCCTGGCTGTCCAAAAGTTCTTGCATCATGGCCCTGTCCAATCCCATCCCACGCCCAGCACCTTCCTCGTTAATGTCACCTCCCAGGTTCACACAAACTGCTCAGAGGCGACGCCCAAGTGGGGCACTGAGGCCCAGAGGGTCAGTAACCTGCTGAAGGTCACACAGCAGGATTAAAGGGACCAAGACCTAGCTCAATGTGGCTCTGAGGGCTGGGCAGCTCTACTGCAATGCCCATCTGACAGGAGGGGAAACTGAGGTATGGGAACACAAGGGATGACCCCTGAAGTTGGCCTGCAGTGCAGCCTGAGGCTGGAGGACTGCTGTGTCATTGCCCATTCTCACTGAGGTGACCAACGGCCCACAGGGCCTTGGCACCTGCCAGTCGAATGTTCTGGTCGCTGTCACATGACTAGCTCCTCCTTACCTGACTAAACCTCCTCGCTCCTCTCTCCCTGTTGCTTGTTCCTGGATACATAACACCAGTGGGGTGGATCTGTGTGCTGTGCATCCTGCTTGGGGATATTGGCCTCTCTGGGTCACCTCCACATCCTCTAAAATCCTCAAAAACTCTAGTCCATAACCATCTGCCAGCCACCTTCAGGGCCTGTGGGACCCCAGGAAGCACTGTTCCTGGGGCGGGGGCAACCTCAGATTCCCCCCTCCGGCTCCCTTTAGAGTTGAATTCTGAGCCCAGGCAGCAAGTGAAGAAGCCACCCCAGCCACCTCCAGGCCGCCACTGAGCCTGAGCATCTGTCACCGTGGGAGGCTGGGCCCAGGAAACTGACAAGGTTCCCAGCATGCCTTGCGGCCCATCACTGTCAAACCCACAGCCCGCAGGAATTCCCCCAAAAGGCCCTGGGTGCTGCTCCGATGGGGATCCAACCTGCACCCGGAATCCCAGCTCTCTCCACACCAGCTGGGATGGCAACTGGCAATCGGTCAAACTGAGTCAGAGGTGGGCGGGGACTCCTGCCGTCTTCCATCACGTGGGCCTCAGGGTGGTAGGTTTATGAAACTTTGGGCTTGTGGTCAGTAAAATGAATTCAGAGAGAGAAATAACAAAAGTTGGGGAGGGGGCGCTGCCCTGCAGTCCCGGAACTGGGGAGACTGAGGCAGGGAGTGTCCCAGATCACAGCAGCCTGAGCCCCAAAGTGAAACCAACCGTGCTTCAAACAGCAGTGCCCACGGCGTGCGCACACTCACAATTACACAGCGTGCACGCACTTCTGTCTGCCTTCCGCACAGCGTGCACACACTCCCGCTTGCCTCGCACACAGTGTGCGCGCTCCTGGCTTTCACACAGGACGCACACAGTCAGTCCTGCTTGCCTTGAACACAGTGTGCGCACACTCCCGGCTTGCACACAGTGTGCATACACTCTAGACTTTCACAATGTGCTCACACTCCCGGCTTGCACACCATGTGCACACACTCCTGCTTGCCTCGCACACAGTGTGCACCCACTCCCGGCTTGCACACAGCGTGCACACACTCCCGCTCGCACACCGTTCCCCTTTCACGCGGTGCTTGCACACCCCGGGCCGCGCACCCACAGCCGGCTCTCGCCGGGACCGCCCCGACGGCGCGCGCCCTTAGCGGGTCGTGTAAACGACTCTCGCGGGTTCGCTGCCCACTCCACATACTGTGTGCGCGGTGGAGACGCTCAGCAGCTGGGGACTTTCTATGACTTCACTGGGCTCTGGGGAGGCGAGTGCCAGCCGGGTCCCCTTCTCGGGTGGGGCTGACTGGGTGTTCTCAAGTCAGCAGCAACCTCCTGCCGCAGCACTCCCCGGGGGTGCGCCAGCCTCCCATTCCTCAGAGGAGGTAAACTGAGACGGGAACTGACTGGCTCAAGGTCACACAGCCCTGGCCGAGCTAACGACCGGCTCTGTCCGGCCACGGAAGCAGGCTGCGCCCACGCCCCTGCCCACTCTCGCGCAAGTCCGGGTCCCCAAGTCGCTTCCGAGCCCGGGGTCAAGTGCGGGGCGGACGGGCGCTTCCCCCCCACGCGCGCCCCGCCCGGCCTCTGCGGTCCCGGGAGTGCGGGCCAGCTCGGAGGACGCTGGGCTCGGTGCCCGAGCCTGCAGCCGGGGGGCGGGGACGCACGGGGAGGCGGCAGGGTGACCCCCGCCTAAGGTCACCGCGGACCGCGCGGCTCCTCCCGGTGCCACCACTTCCAAACTTTCCTCCCGGCTCACCCCCAGCCGCAGACTTGCCGGTGCGGCGCGCGCTCCGAGCTCTCCCGGGCTGCCGGGGCGCCGGCTCTCGTAGCCGCGGCCACCTGCCCAGCTCCGCCCTGGCCGGGGGGAAGCTTGGGTCACATCGCCTCCGCGACCACCCTCTCCCCAAGGCCGGGGTCCCGGCCAACCCCTCCCGGCGGCGTCGCTCGCACGGCGGCTGGCGGGAACCCATCTAAAGCAGCCGGAGAGCGAGGCACAGAGAGGGCCGGCCACTAGCCCAAGGTCACACAGCGCGGCGGCGGCGCGAAGCCGGGGGGCATGCAGGCGACGGTCCCCGCCCGCGAGGGTGCCCGGCCCCCGCTTGATACTCACAGCCGGTCTTGCCCTCGAGCTCCCGCACCTCCTCGGACGCCGAGTGGGCAGCGCCCATGGTGCGCCGCGGGGCCCCCGGGCGCCCCACGCAGGCCGGGGATTGCCTGGGTTGCGCTGCGCTCGGGCCGGGTGGGGACGCGGGGACAGCGGCGCGGAGCCGGTTCCGCGTGGGGCTCGAGCGGCCTCTTATAGCGGCGGGAGGCGGAGCGGCGCGGTCCTAGCGCTCGCCCGCTTCCCTCGCGGCCGCGGGGGCGGGAATCGGGGGGGCGGGGGGAAAGAGACGACGCGGGTACGCCCCTGCCGCAGCTCCGCGGGATGAGCTTGCGGGCAGCGCGATCCGCATCCCTCCGGCCACTCTCCCGGGGTCCAGCGGCGGACCCCGGCGACCCGGACAGAGGAGAGCGTGCGAGTGAGCCCAGTCTGAAAGCTTCCCCTTCCCCGAGCCCTGCACCCGGAGGAGCGCGCGCGCCGCAGGTGACAGGCGTGGACTGAGTGAAGAAGGTGGGGTTGATGGGTTCCTGGGACCCGCTAAGCTCTGAGATAGACGGTCCTGACTGGCCAGTCCTGTTGCTGGTCTAACCACCATCCCTCCATCTCCAAATAGGAGCGCGGTGAGATGCTCACCGAAGGGCGCCCAGGGAGAAAGGCGCTGGGGTGCCGTGGGATCCGGTCTAGTTGATGAGGAAGGGGCTGGTACTCCCGGAGGGAGAAATTCAACCTCAAGGCTGCCCTGGGGCCCCCGGCCATGCCCGGCTCTGCTTGGTGAAGTCCGGCTTAGCTGCCAAAGTGCTGAGGTCCCCACGATCTTTCACCTCGCCTGTCACGGCCGTGGGTGCGCCCACATCTTTTTGCTGGGGTTCTCAGGAGCCCACTCTAGCCAACCCAGGACCTGGGCCCTGGCACCTCTTGCAGCAAAGGGGGCTCGGCAGAGCTGGAAGAACCGGCCCTACCGTTGAAACATCGCTTACCACCCACTCTGGGCCTCCGGGGTCTGCCCCTGGAGGTCCTCCCTGAGGGTCCTCCCTGAAGGTCCTCTGTCCTCACAGCAGCCGTCCAGAGTTCACGGAAACTGCCCTCACCCCGGAAACAAGGGAAGCTTGGCCTTGGGGCATCGCTGCTGAGTGGGCTGGACCGCCTCAGGGGGGATTCCATTTGTGGCGCCAAGAATTCTAAAAACCCAGACAGACCTTTGTGGGGTGGAGGGCAGGAAAGGACTCCCCAGGTCCCGGGATATTGAGGTTCCTAATATACGCTATGAATATGCCTTCCTGCTACTAAATTTCGCGTCTAGGTCCTGGTTGGGGCTTCCTGTCAGGGAGGAGCTGCATTCTCCAGGCTGGAGAACTCCCATCGTCCAGCAACTCCAGACACACGCACACCCGCACCCCAGGTTGACAATGGAGACCTCCCCTCTTCCTCCGGGATCTCAGTGTAGGCCTCCTCAGAGAGGCCTTATCTGGTGTCCGCCTATTTTCACCAGGCTGGGGTGTGGTCGCCAAGCAGAGCCCGCCCATCCGCCCGGGGTTTCGAGGAGTCCTCAGGAAAGGGGGGCGACAGTCTGACTTGTGTATTTGTTTACTCATTTAGCGCGTGTTTCCTGATGGCCTACTATGTGCAGGGTCCCAACTAGGTCTTTAAGCTGCAAACAGGGATAAGACACCACTTTCACTGCAGATGGAGTGGGAGAGACCCGGGAACCGGAGTAACCTAGGGCGAGCTCTCAGGAGGACCGCGGCGATCTGAATGTCCAAACTGAGCTTCAGAGTCCATAATTGGCCCCACCCGTGGCCCCACAGAGACAGCCAGCTCCGGGAAGCTGCGTGGGTGTTGTGGCGGCACCTGCCCTCCTCCTTCCCGTTCTGGCTCCCGCAGTGATGTGACCACCCAGCAGGGCTCTGTCCACACAAAGCCTGCCTCTGCTGGTCCAGGATGCCACCGCTTTCATTCAGTCTTATCAATGGCTCTGTCCGAGTCATCAAAGCTAGCTAGACTGGGGTATGGAGGGGGCTTAACACGAGGAAGGCATCATGGGGGCTCCCTCCTCCCCCAGCACAGGGCTGTCTCAGTCACCAGGTAACTAACTGCCCGTCCTTAGAGGCACAGGTCCCCAGGAGGAGCTAAAAGCCAGGTGCAGACAAACCTGTTTGTCGCTGTACCAGTGTGATTTGCAAATCTGGTCCCTAGGAAACCAGAGGGCAGCCCAGCCCAGAGATGTTGAGCTTTTAGCTCTGCTGTGGGACCATGCTTGCTCAAGTGGGTGACTTCACTTCCCGGAGCCTCAGTTTTCCCATCTGTAAGATGGCAAGAGCAGCGGTACTGTCTTTCTGGGGTAGCTTGGAGGGTTAAATAAGGGCTCATCTGCTCCAGCTGGCAGAAATGACAGTCCCCAGGTAATCACCTTCTAGGAAGTCCGTCAGTGGTGTTTGCCAGTTTCCACAGTGTAGACATCCCGGATGGCCGACACAACACATCCGCCAGCAGTAACTCAGCAAGGAGCTTTCAGGATACCCCTGTTTAACAAGATTCTGCACAAGCTTGAGGTAGATCTGAGCCTCCATGTATGTCATTCACACATTGGCTACGGAGAGCCAGGAACGTGGGTGAGCCTACGGACCCCAGGCTGCAAACAGATGTGGGAAGCCATCATTGCTCTCCAGTGGGTACCAAATGCTACAGGAGTCTGGAGGGACACCAGACACACCCCTGTTTTATTGGTCAAAGACCCCAGTGGTCTTCCCCCACGGATTTGAACTCCGAGCAGCCATTTCTATGATCCTGTAACTATGGGGTGATCCCCCCTGGGTTTTAGAATTCTGCAGGAATACAGGACAATTTCTTAACCTACAAAGACTCCAAGAAGTTAGAAGGGACTCTAGGTGCCAGCCAGCTGGACAGACCAGACAGACAGATCACATCAACCAGGAGACCATCGGCCAAATTTTTCCAAAGGCATAGCTGTTCTGGTGCAGGCCTGTGATCCCAGTCCTGGAAAAGCTGAGGCAGGAGGATTGCTGGGAACTCCTAGCCAACCCAGGATACATTAAGTGTGACTGTCTTGGAAAGGGAGGGGCTAAGACCGAGGCTGGGTTGGCACCACCTTAGCCTGGCATTCAGGAAGGCCTGGGTTCGGTCCCCGAGCCCTGCATCAACCAGAAATGGTAGAGCACATGTGTAATCCCAGAATCTGAAAAGTGGAATGTCAGGAACTCAAAATCATCCTTGGCTACGCAGAGTTCAAGGCCAGCCTGGGCTACATGAGACCATTTCTCAAACAAGGGAGGGAGACCCCATGGTGCCCTCTCTATGTCTCTTGAGTACAGTTCAATGAATAATGGAATCTCAGATTCCACCTTTTACCAGCCCCTTCTTATTAAGTCAAGCTCTGATATAGGAACTTAGGAGTCCCTCCCATCATCCTCAGGGACCTTGAGACAACCCCCCTCCAGTCACCCATCAGCCTGGGTGAGGGTCCCTCTGGGTATTGACCTCAGGTCTCTCATCCTTATCCTATCCAGGTTACGGGACCACTGAGCCCACAGAATCTCTTTCTCAACTTCTGGCCAGACCTCAGAGGGGTGCAGCTCCATGGGCCAGGGGGTGCCTAAAAATAGGAGATTAGGTCCCCTTGGGGAGGGCGGCTTGAGTACGCTTCTCCATTATTTATACAATTATAAATAGTGACCAATCGCCGGAGACAGCAGGGGCAAAAAACTTGTCCCTGGATGGGCTTCAAGTCTGCATTGGAGTGGAGAGGCAGAGAGGTGGCTAGAACCCAGCATCCATTTCAAATTCACCATGCTTTGTATGGAGCTGGGGTGGGGGTGGGGGTCAAGAACGGGAGCTCTCAGGAGCAGTGCACATCCGCGGGTGAATTCGGTTCTCCTCACCACCGGCTGTATCCAGTCTGTGAGGGACCCTGAGGAACAGCCTCCTGCATCACAGCAGACAACCCAAGGGAACTGTCCCATCCCTCCCTCGAACCTGGGTTGTGGGCCTAGGACGAAGACTTGAGGCTGCTCTGTGCTGACCAGATGGATCCTGCGGCGGCACAGAGCGGGCATATACACGGATGAGGGAGATGGAGGGTTGTGCTCCAGAGTCACAAGAGATGGGACAGTGGCCCAGCCAGCCATGGCTAGCTTTAAAGATGGAAGGAGGGACAGAGATCAAGGAATGCAACCTTTTCTAAAAGCTGAAAAAATGCAGGAAAACAGCCCTGCTCCCGGAGGCTGCTAGAGAGGTATCATGTGCACCTTGCTGGTGGCCCAGTGAGACCTCCGGCTCCCAGAACCAGAAGACAAACCGCTTGTATTCTTCTAAACCAAAAAAAAAAAAAAGAAAAGAAAGAAAAAGAAAAAAAAAAAGAAAAAAAGAAAGAAAGAAAGAAAGAAAGAAAGAAAGAAAGAAAACCAAACAAAAAAAAATCAGTGAGCTGGGACAGAGCCCGAGCTTGTAAGACCCCCCCAGGGCCGTGAACACCACCGTGGGGACAGGGCGGGGCGGTCTGCTTAGTTTGTGTGCGCATGCGTGCAGCTTGCCTCCACTTCTGGCCTCAGCCGCCGCTGCAGTCAAGTGCAGAGGAAATTGCACATCACAACTCTGGGCGGCTCTGAAGCCGACCGGCTGTGGATGGGTTGGATGTGTCCAAGAATTCCCCTGACTAAAACGCACAACCTGGACAGTTTTAGTTTCTCCGCAGGCCTGTGTGACCGTTGCCGCAGTTCCCTTTACACGATACATCTTTCTCGTTCTCACACTTTCAGCCGTGATCCCGCAATCCCTCCGTCCTCCCCAGCCCCCGGGACTCACCAACTCTGGATCTTTTCCTCGTGTAAACAGAAGCGTGCATCAGGAGGCCTTCTGCATTCGATTCCTCATAGTGTGCGCGTCAGTGTTCACCACACTGTAGCACGTCTGCGTAGTCCTTCCCTCTTCATGGCTGAGTGCTATTCCACAACCGGACAGCCATTTTGTTTGTTTATTCGTTCTTCCTAAGATGGACACTCAGTGGCCTCTGTCTTTTGGCTGCTGTGACTCATGCTGTCTGTCGTAAACATTGTTGTACAAAGATCTGAGTGAGACATTGTGACAACCATATCTGGAGATACAAGAACACGGTGGTAGGGTGGGGGGGGCACTCTTCCCTTCCTCTGTATCCTTTCCTCTGTATTTACTTCCAAGGCCAGACACAAATATGGCCACAGGAGGGGGTGCGGGGGTACTAGACAAAGAGGGTCTCCACATGC